TCTCTTCTCTGTGGTGCCCAGCAACAGGACAAGAGGCAACGGGCACAAACTGAACCACAGGAAGTTCCATCTGAACCTGAGGAAAAACTTCTTCACTGTGAGGGTGACAGAGCATTGGAACAGGTTGCCCAGAGAGGTAGTGGAGTCTCCTTCGCTGGAGATATTCAAAACCCGTCTGGATGTGATCCTGGGCAATATGCTCTAGGTGACCCTGCTTGAGCAGGGAGGTTGGACTAGATGATCTCCAGAGGTCCCTTCCAACCTAAACGATTCTGTGATTCTGTGCCTAGAGAAAGTGCTCACAGGTAAAAAAATTTTAGAAGTAGCAAGACTTTTCATCTTCGATAGTTAATTCTAACTGCAGGGTTTAAAGAACAAGCTGATTCTGGTAAACACCACAAGTAAAAATTAGGCCGAAGCTGATTCTATTTGTTTGGGACTAAGCAGGAAAAAAAAGGCATATCTGTGTGCCACATTTGTACACTTCAGTATTAGCAATCAGATGACAAAGGAGGACATTTCCCTGGCACATAAGTTCAGTATTAGAGGAACACTGTCTATGTTAAGGTCCCCCTTGAAAGTCCACCATGATCCTTGCTTCTTTGTGACTTAATCCCTGAGCTCTGAATAAGGCACTATCTTTAACAGACACTCTAAGGTCAAATTAAACCTAATTTATGTCTGTTAAGTTTATAAAAGAAAATAGAAATATAATACAAATACTTACTACAGTACTTAACTTAAATGATTAAAGATTAGAGTATGTTCTTCTACATGCAATCATTTAAATTATTTTTTTGACTTTGAGACAGATTCTTTGTCTCCTTTTGGTCCCCACATCATGTCAAGGAATTGACATGTTTCACTGGCCATTCTTAGCTCTCTAAGGACTCTGCCTGCTAATGGCATTGCAAAGCATAGATGGTTAATCACTGGCCACAGTCAGCTGCTCATTTATTTATAATTCTTCCTCTTCCAGGAACCAAATTCATTAAGCCTCCTCCCCACTTCAAAAGCTGACTTGGATATCAGATCTTCTTTCACAGACCTCATATCAAATGTCAAGCATCATGCTGATTGTACTTATCAAACATACATAGGGATACTCAGCAAAATTTGACAGCTAGAATCCATACACCAAAACCTCCGTTTCTCTCTAACGATACGATTGTTTCCATTGCACAGAGTATCCTATTGACTTCCGGCCTCCTATCGCAAGTCTATTGTACAGAAGTGTAATAGAAAGGGTAAGAATGGAGTGAAGGGAAAATGAATGGGAATGCCGGGGTGTGGAGGCAGAAGAGCTATGAGAATGGCAGGTACTGACAGTACTTAGATCAGTAGGTCATCAAGATGCCAGTGCATCTAGCTCCTCAGGGAACCCAGGCCATGAGACAAAGGGTATAAAAAAAGGCATATCCAAAACCAGTGCATGGTCACCAACCTAGGAAGAACGCAAGTGATGCGATGACGATTTGATATAGCCCGTGTCCCTTACTGTCCATGTCAGCAAAACAAACCTGGACCAGACTGCCTGATTGATGCCTGAACACTGGACAGCCACTTAGCTACCAGCGTCTTTGACACTTGTGAGCATACGGCTATGACAGCACGAGCAAGTGAAACCAGTTCCGTATTAAAACAAAATGATCTCCCTTTCCCCTAAGGGCACACATTAAGCATTGCTATACTGTTACTACAGCCTTGCAACATTGTTTCCTGTATTGTCAAGTATCTATCTGCATTCTCTGCAATCCACATCTGCCCAGCTTCATTAAGGGATACATTCTTATAATTCGTATACACCACCTGTAGTATTAAGCCAAAAATTCCTCAGCTTTTTGACAGAGACAAGTTGTGATGAAACTCCTTATCTAACAAAGGCTTACATACCCAGGTGCCCACAGTTAACTGCACAAGCAACTCAGCTCTGTTCTACAGGAGAAGTGTGTCTTGTCAGACAGCGGCTAAGGCACAACCCTCCTGCTTTTGCTAACGCATTTTGCAGAGCGCTAAACTGCCCCACACCCTACATAAATACACTGCTGTAGCATGTACAGCCCATTTAGGCTACAGTCTTCCTACAATTATTTGCCATAACCTAAGTCAACGGACACAGAAGAAAAAAAAAAAAAGTACTGTTTAATCAGTGCAGCAACTTGGACTCTTGAACCTGGGTTTCTACCTGCAACATTGTCAGTATTTACAGGTACACAGGGCAGACTAAACGTACAGCAGTAGGCACAGGGCTTACCTATAAAACGTGCCCCTCAGAGCAGTAACATAAACGTACCGATACATAAGCATACTACATATACACTCAAGCATAAATGGATTTCTTACGCAGTCCTGGGCCAATGCAGCAGAGTTCTTCAGCCAAGCTCCCATTCACACTCTGTGTATACAGGGGAGCAGGATACGAGGCCATATCTCCTTCCTAGTTCAGTCCTTCCCTTCCCTCCACACTGCCCCACTTTCAGTTATTTGGCACCACTCCTTACACTTTCCACTTAACTACATTTCTTCTCTCTGGCTTCACCACATGATCCTATTTTAAAACCGGTTTCATCATCTCTTGGTTTTTGACCCCTTTCTAGTTTTGCTTACACCTGTTTCCTTGTTCCTCTAGTGAGCTGTGACCTTCTTTGCACGTTCATTTATTTCTGACTCCCTTCTTTTACTTTACGCCTTCATACAGGTTTGCTGGTTCCTCTTCATATTTTTAATATGCATCATGGCACTCAAACACAAGCACATGATTAAGCCTTGCAATCTCTACAGGCATGAGCACCTATAGTTTCTCTGCTTCAGTCTGCATGGACAATGTCACAGGGATGTACTGTAAAATTATTTCATTGATGTCTGATACACGTTTCCATTTATCTTAGCCAAACAAAATTCTGAATTCTAGTGTACTGTCACCACAAGACTGATTATCAGAAACGAATAAAAGACACTGACACATTTAATTATTCAAGAAGTTCTCAACTCAGCTAAAACAGATACTAGGAAATTTATCTATTTCAGACACAGGGAGAGGGGCGAGAGGGAAGGGAACAAAAAAGTCATGAAGTAGTTTAAATAAATAAATAAATAAATAACAAATACAAGATTGAAATGACTTCTGATGCCCTACTTCTGGAAAAACTGAAAGGGCAACAACAGCACTGAAAATATAGAACCTGTTGTGTGCTTTTCAGATATGAGACTTTGCTATGAATGCTCGCTCTAGGCCTGGCTCATATTCAACATAAAATAATTACTTACCACCAGAGTCAACTGAATGCTATACTTCATTATCGCAAGAATTCCCTTCCTCAACTTCATTATCTTACTGCAGTTACAAAGTCTGTTGTAATATTGCTATTACAGCTGATGCCCCCCTTCTCCTCATACTAAATACCAACTGGTGCTAACTCCTCTATCCTTTCAAACATTTTTAATATCGTTCTTTCCCTGTTGACTCCATTACGTGACTATGACAGGCCATCCAGAAAGCACAGTTACTCTGGAACTAGAACCACTTACGTAGTGTTTACTTCTTTCACGGGCTTATATTGTTTGACAACGCATATTTTTATTATTCAGGTCAGTTTGTCCTAATCACAAGCGCATAATGATTTTTCCAAGATTCCACTTTCTTTATATGAAATATTTCAGCATGTTTTACAACTTGAAGAAAATAAAACTAAATAAAACACACTGAAAAAACACTTTCATTAATAAGTAGACTCTAATGAAACAAATGTATTTTTGATCAACAATCAATATTGCAATACTGAAATGTGTATTTTTCTTATCAAGGTGCAAAATATAACTTATCTCTTCCCTGAGAGGAGGAAACCGGAAACCAACTGTGGTTCGGGATCCTAAAAACTTGTCAAAAATACAGCTAAAAAGATCTTCTTTCAATTCTGTTATGTCAGTCTTAATGAATAAATAAATTTCAATTAGCCCATTGACACCCTGCTTACCTGCGTAGATGAAAAGTCCACACTGTGAAGAAATCTGCAGTTCTCTCCTAGTGCCTGCAAGGATGCATCCATGATGCCCGAGCAGCTGCCTAAGTTCACTATTTGTAGGAACTGGCAGTTTAGCGCAAGAGCAAGAACTCCACTGTCAGTTATATCGCAGCACCTTTTAAAAGATGCTTCACGCAAGTAAGGACAGGATAAGGCCAGAGCTATGACACCTGTCAAAGAAACACACCAATTAAAAGAAAAAAACATTTTTTAACTAACCACCATGCTGAATTCAATACGCTACACTCTGCTCAATTTTCATTTTATGCCAAGCCAGTGGGATTCTGTAAGAGGAAATCATTTTGTGGCGGGTTTCTTTTAATTCAATGGTGAGAAAAAGAAAATCACAATACCAAATAGACATGGAGACCTGGAAAATGGCACTACTGAAGAACGCCAGAGGTAAGAAAGGTTTCTAAATGCTGAATTCCCTTCCTTAGTGTAGAGGGATACATGAGGGAAACTGTATACATGAAGTAACACCTCAACGACTGCATTAAAAAAAAAAAAGAAGAAGAAGAAGAAGAACTAGACAATGCCTTGAGAAGCCTCTGGAAATTCTGGAGTTGTGTCATGGTTTTGAAGATCTGGAAAATCTTTCAAAGAAGGATGTTCATTCATACAACTGAACTATTTTGGGCATCTGGTCAATAAGATTACAAAGATAATAGGTAAAACATGATTCATGAGAGCATGTGATCATAAGGGCAACTCGGAAGGATTAGCTAGTGGATGAGAAATCAAGTGAAGGAATACTATGGCTGTGCTGGAAAATGGGCTTGTGAAACTTACAGAAAGAATATGGAGTAACATCCTGGGACAGTAAGAATGAAGGTGGAGGGAACTGCCCTGGAAGAGAAAGGAGTCGATAGGATACGCAGAGACTGGGGAACCTGAGGAAGAGTAAGAAAGGAGAAGAAGAGGCAGTAAAAGAAGAGTGGATAATTTTCTAGAGAAATCAGAATGGAAAGGACAGACATAATATCAACAAAATTATTTTGGCTGATCTATGTGCATGGAAAGTCCTTGCCAAGAAGCACCGAGAAAGTGGTCACCAAAGCATATCTGTAAAAAAGAAAGGCATGCAATGTATAATGAGGCATGGACCTAAAACGTGGATCTGAAGTAGAAGAAAACTCCAAACGGTAGGAGGGAAAAATCCACTAGTCAGGCTGGGATGAGTGAAACTACAAAACCCTTACTGGGACAAATCAAGAATAACTATGCTAGATTGGTGGCAGACATAGAAAGAAGCACTGGCTCAGCGAAACTGAAGCAATATTTTACTGGCTCCTGAAAGAATACATCTGCTGTAAGGCCTGGAATGTTTGAACACTGGGACATGTTCATCAGAAGAGTGATCTTCCTTAAA